TGACTTTTAGCAATCATTTTATAAGCTCTGATATTGTTGAAAGTAAAATACAATGAAGGACTCAAAGCAAAGTATTCAATGAATCCAAACTGAATGTACAATATGGAACTCCAAACTGCTAATAAAGCCATTTATTAATTACTCTTGCTCTCTTTGAGCAAGAAAGCACTAGAAGAATGTTTAAGTTTGTAAGCAAAGTTAAAGAGATCCTTAGTGTTTCAATTCCATTTGTCACATACAGGCAAAAACAGAACAGCTTGGAGAAAGTGACCCTGGTTTCCAATTCTGAACAGCATGTTGCAAAATCAGAATTATCCTGCTGTATTTGGTGTTGGTGGAGCCTCACCTTGAATACTGGGTGTAGTTCTCGGCCCCGCAATTTAAGAAGGATGTGAACATCCTTGAAAGCATCCAGAGGAGGGCAACAAAGCTGGTGAGAGGGCTAGAAGGCATGTCCTGAGGAGTGGCTGAGGACACTTGAGTTTGTCTAGTTTGGAGAGAAGTGGGTAGGAAGGTGCTGAGCTCTTCTCCCTGGGATCATGGGACAGGACACATGGGAATGGCTCAAAGCTGCACCAGAAGAGGTTTAGACTGGACAGGAGGAAGCATTTCTTTACCGAGAGGGTGGTCAAACACTGGAACAGGCTTCCTAGAGATGCAGTTGATGCCCCAAGCCCATCAGTGCTTAAGAGGTATTTGGACAATGCCCGTAACAACATGCTTTAATATTTTGTCAGCCCTGAATTAGTCAGGCAGTTAGACTAGATGATCATTGTAGGTCCTTTCCAACTGAAATAGTCTAGTTTAAAAGTAATTTTAATCTTTCAGCAAAAGAGTAAGTAAAGATCTCTTATGCATCCTCTGAAAACATAAAAACCCTAGTAAGTACCATGTTTCATCTTCTAAAAGATGAAAAGTGGCCAGACAACACTTAATGAGTGTATAGAAACCCAAATAAAAAACCCACTCAGAACAAATATCCACTTAAGTAGCCGTTTAGTCTGTAACAACAGACAGTACAAGACAGAGAGGAAAAGAGCACGAGACCAGGGAAAGTATACAAGGAGCACCTTCATACACCCTTGCAGTCCCTGTTATCTGTATTTCAGAAATTTCCTTACCGGAGTATTAATATTATCGCTTAAACATATTGACCTTTATTCCATGAACTTTAAATGATACAAGTTTCAGTATCCAAAATATTCTTTGTTAATGAACTTGCAGTTTATTTCCCCATTGTGTAGGAAAAAACTTCCTGTTTTAAGCCTGTTGCTTGATCATTTATCTTTATGTATTCCAACTCCTCCGTAACAATGAAATTTCACAGCCTTTCCCAGTCCACCTTTTAATTCTATTCAGTTTTATAACTATCACCCTTCCTCCAGTCATCTATTTTCCAAGCTAGACAGATCTATCCTATTTAGAATTTCTTCATGCAGAAATCATTACATAGCTCTCACCATCCTACTCTTTTAAAAAGAAAATAGGATTCTTTTTTAAATCCGGTACTATGCTTTAATAAGAAAATACACTGTCTGAGGCAAGGGCACATGGTAGATCCTTGTAACAACATAATGACATTTTCTATTTTCTTTTAAGCTTCTGATGTTTGATTTGCCTATTTGCTTGCCACCAGGCATTAAACAGATATTTTGGAGAAATGCTTGCAATTACTGCAGCTAATCCTTTCTTTGGGATACTAACTCAGTCTGAAGCCATTACATTTACCCACGTAAAAAGTGTGAAATAAGTGCATGTACATTATGTGCATTACTCCATGCATGTTAATACTGGATTTCACCTCCCATTACCCAGGCCCTTGATATTGCAAAATCTTTTCACAATGATTTGCCATTCTGACCATAATTAACAATGTTTTTTTAGCATTACATGTCAGCTGACTCTTCACTTTGCTCCCTTGGTTTTCAAAAATTACTTATAAATCCACCTGGCATTTGTTTTTTATCTCACAAGCTTTTCCACCACAAGCTACGGCATAGCTCCAGTTTGGTGGTGGTGGTTTTCAGGGTAGTTTTTTTTTTTAGAGCTCCAAGTTCAGCATATTGACCACAACACCCCCAGGCACTACACTGCTGATTCCTTCCAACAGAAGTCGTGCCTCCTATTGAAATAACCCGTCTCTGCACAATATAAAACAAAAAGAAATAAGTAAGTGTTGGATCCGCACAAGAAAAACACCTCCCAAGAGCTGCTCTCAGTCTGTTCTAGCAAACAGATGTCAAAAGCCGAGGGGTACCAGCGGGAAGCTTACTCCTTCCACTCACCGGCACTTCAGACCCGCGTACGAGCTGCACAGAGCGACTGCTTGCAGCCCGCTCGCCGTCAGGGCTGCCAGCTTCAGACCACGCACCGAGTTCAGCTCTGGAAGCGTTTCGAGGGTCCGAATTCACGGGAAACAAAGCGAAGGAGAGCTGCGAGCCACACGGCCCCCTCCCC